TTGTAAACAAACTCGACCAATGTTTCGACATTAAATGAGCATGATAAATCTCAAGGAAATAAGGATCACATGATTGGTGATATAAAAATCTTAAAAATATAAATAATGCTCTATAAAAAACGGAATTTTCAATATCATAAACTAATACACTTGAATTTTTCCAAAATAACATATATTTTAATAAATCATCTTCATTTCCATCTTTTAATTTTTCTGTAATAAAGTCATATGTTAATTGTGGATGAGCAATTCCTATAGTATGGAAAAATAATACAACATCAGTTAATACTGAATAATTATCTTCATCTAATGTTTTCCATAATACTTGATATAATTCGTAAATAAATGTTTCATCATCAAGTTGAAGTATATCTTTTTCTTCTTTTTTCCAAATATCATAATAACATTTTGCTGCTCTAACACGTATAACTGCATTAGGGTGTTGTGAGATAAGTTTTTTTAATTCATTTATCCATTCATTATTATTTAAATCTTTTTTTAATAATATTTGAATTCCTTCAATTCCTATTTCTTCTTCTTTTTCATTTTCTTCATTAGATTCTTCATTAATATTTTGTATTTGATATCTTTTAAATGGTGTAATTTCAGCATGAAGTAATTTCATTATATTACAAAACTCTGTAAATAAATTTAATTTAATTTCAGTCATTCTATCATCTTTTTCAATATAATTTTTCATAAACATTTCAAATATTTTATTTGATTGAATAGTAATTTTCAATAACTCAATATCTTTTTCTTCAGTTTCTTCTAATTTATCTTTAAGACAAAGTTCTATCAAGTCATAACACTCTTTTATTCTTTCAATTAATCCATTCTTTTCTACAAGTTCAGATAATTTATTTAGTACTGAATAAACAACTTTTATTTTAAATTCTTTCATTTCTTCCATTTGTTTTTCATCTCCATGATAAGTATTGATAAAAGATAATGTTCTTTTAATAGCATATTCTTTATCGTTTGAAATAAGACTAATAATACTTTCAAATAATATTTTACAATTCATATTTTTGAGAAATTCAGATAATAAATCAACGTCTTTTCTTTGTCCTGTTTCTTCTTTTAATTGAAGTAAACAAAGTATATCTTCATTAACCTTATAAATAATTTGTTCTCCAATTAATTGTTTGCCAAGTAATTCTTCATAAACAGAAATTATATTTAATATTCCATTTTTCTTTGAATATTCAAATAAATCCGTCAGTGCTTCTTCAAATATTTTTTGTGAATATTCTTTATAAAATGTCACCATCTTTTCTTTTTCTATGTCCTGATCTTTCGCATTTAATCCAAAAAGATAAAAATTTACTCTTCTTGTTAGTGCACTATCCTTTTTATTTAATAATATTAACATCCGTTCAATAATATATTTAAATTGTTCTTCATTAAATATTCCACTATTTAATTTTATTCTTGTACATAAAATATCTAACATGTCTCTTAATACTAATGATTTTTCATCACTAAGTGTATTTAAAATACCATAAAACATTAATTCTCTATTTGCTAATTGTTCTTCTTTTATTGGACAATCAAGTTTAAGTAACATATAGGTTAATAATGGTTTTCTACTTATACTATTTGAACGTAATATATCCCAACATAATTCCCAAAAATATCTCTCGTTATTCTTTTTGACTTCATCAATAATTTCAATTGTTTTATCTTTAATTCCCCCTGTATTCTCTTCCATACCAACTATAACAGAAATGATAAATGCTTTTTGAATATCTGGAATATTTGAAATTAAAGGAAGTATATATTTAATAATAATATCTAATATCTTTGTTCTAATATCTGTTGCTCCACTTCGTATTAATGGAAAAATCCCTGGAGTAAAACACCATATATCAGCTATGATTCTATTTTGTCCAATTCTTTCAAATAATAAAGAAAATAATTCTAATACTTGGTTATGTACTCCAGATGGAATTTGTGGATCTAATGATTGAGTCATTCTTCTCATAAATGTTTGTTTAGCGGGAACAACAGGAAATTCTTTGTTGTTTTTAATAAATTTAGTAAAGGTCTGAACCATTTGAAGGATATCTGTCCAAACCTTACATTTCT